AGCAGTTTAATTGCAAACCTATGTTTATACGTTTAAACATTGTATTTGTCATATTCAACATAAATCACCAAGGCGCAACAAGATCAATGAAGCTGTCTGCATATTTTCTGTTGCTGTGGGCAAGTGCCCATCTGTCCTCCTTGAGAGCAGTGCACATACCTGATCATGTGAATACTGTGGCAGGTGTGTTATGGCAGAGCATAATATAGCCAAGGGAGTGGCAACTCCATCCTCAAATAATTCAGTTGATATAGAACACATATGGGAAGGTGAAGGTAGATCTATTCGTGAGCAGTCAGTCAGTGCAATGTTCAGATTGATTCTCACTAAGCAGCGAAACAGGCTTGCTGAGGCAGGAGGCAATGGCCAAGTGGTCTCTTATGCGCATTTCCCCCATTTTCAATGATTCTGTTAGTTTGCAGTCGCATTTGGGTGCTGAACCATCCACTGTTACTAATAACCCCACTCCTGTGGGATTTTTTTAATGGATTCTCCAGTTCAGTTACTGGTCAGATCAGATCTCTAGACACAACTGAAAGGCAAGTTTTGACATCCCGAAGTTTGATATTTGTCTTCTCTGGCAGTCTATAGTCAAGAAAATAGAACATTGGTTACATATGTAATCTTGGTTCTATGACTGGCGGAAGACTGCCAGAGCCTTTGGTCACTCAGGTTAACTAGACGTCTTGAAGGACGTAATGACGTGTTTGGAGGTATTTATAGACAGACACGTCATTATAATTTTTTATTAGATTCACGATACCGAGAAGGGCAGGAAGGTACATGTATTCCACTCGGAATAGCTCTTTGGCGATCTTCTGCCAGTCATAGAACCAAGGTTATTTTCACATTTTAGTCCTATCCAATACTTGACTTCTTTTTTATCTTTGGCCAATCACATTTTCTATGTATATTGCTGTAATGTGTTGCATCAGCATTAGTTAAATTAATTTTACATAGATTAAAAATAAATATAAACTACGTAGATGTTCATGTATTTTACAATATTCTGTTATAAATTTAAACATGCATTTCTTCTTGTTATTTTGTACCATGTAAGCCTATACAGTATCTAAAACATTAGATTATGAATAAGTGAAATGATAGAGTCTATATATTGATTGTCATTATTGCATCATATTTAGACCACAATATTATAGTTCAAAATGTAGTCATACATGTTTGCACAGGTTGTAGGGTGACAGTAGGTGTATTTTAATCTATTACTCTTTATGTAAAGTTTAAAAAATAACTGTGGAGGGTGACAGTTAAAGGGCTAATAGTTTTGTGTGCAATTGTAAATAAATGGCAAATGCCACTTACCAAGGTTAACTTTAATTTTATTTTTTTTAACCTAAGGTTTTAGAGCCCCTTTTAATTTATTTTTAAATAGCCCAGGGATGATTATACACAAAGTTAAATTTTTGTACCTTCAGTTGTCTAAAGGGTACAAAATGTGCAGGAAAGACTGCATTGATATTTTATAATATCATGACCGTTTACACCAGCAAAGCACATAAAATGCTTTCATGAGTATCTGTTAATGTGTTTTGTGCACACTAGACCTTCAATAAAATGCAGTGATGCACACTTCAGTCAATTAAGCTGTGAGTCTGCGTCATCTTGTGTTAACTAAAATGTGTTAGGCACCATTTAAATGTATGAGTTTCCACGAAGCTAGTCATAGATTCCACATGTTGTCTAGTGCATTTATTCATTGCCTGTGCAATTTATTTAATTCTGTAACCTAACAAGCATGTGTGGTTATTTTGTTTTAGACAACCTCCTATATGACTTAAATGTAAACATGGAAATCTTGTGTTCAAAAACTCTATGCTGTGTGTTATCACATAGTGCACAATAAATCTATACATTCCACATACCAGAAAGTTCTAAAGATTAATAAATAAACAGGACTACTTCATGAAGCAAATGGTCAGATTGCTGATTTATTATTAGTGATGTGTTCTGTATTCAACCATAAAACTGGATTGTACTCTACAGTGTGTGCAACAGTGGCATCTAGCTTCCGAACTCTGTAAGACTAAAAATAGCATAATTCAGCTTTTCTGACCAGCATCTCTTTAAGATCTAATTATATATAAATATATTTATATACTGACAGAGCTATAGTATCTTATTGCATGTAGTCTGAATTATGTAATCACATTATAAAAAAATATAAAAAAAATATGGTACTTGTAAATAGATATAGGATATATTTATTACATGTTAACATGCTCATAATAAGATAACAATAACTATTTTATCAATTACAAGATGACAAATTGACGCAAGGCCAGTAAATTATTCATCATGGATTCTTCTTTTCTTTTAATGTTCCTTTAGTAAAAATGATATTGTGTGTGATCATGTTTAGCTCAGAATATTCACAGTATATTACCGAATCAGTCATGTAAATTTTTTTGTAATCAATGCTTTAGAGTTTGTAGAAGAAAAAAGAACGCTTCTCAATCAATCATTTGTTTATGCAAATCTAAGATTCCCTCACATTTTTTTGCCAACTGAAATCCTTTGAGCTGGCGGTAAAACGTGACAGAGTAATTCTGCTGTAGTGACCCCTGATAAAGGAGGGAATAAGACGAAGGGAAGTGAGCGAGTGAGTAAAAGCCTTTCCCCTAAAGTATTTTCTTACCCTGAGATCTGAAGTTAATGCTTCAATAATTGACATGCTGGTAAACAAATACATACTTCAAGTGTATTTCATTAAGTTTTTATTTTAAAATAATTTATACATTTTCTTTTATGATTTAATTAATGGTTGGCTTTATATTCACTACAATATTTTTTCATAAACCTTGGTTTGGGAATCCATGTTTAATGCATTTTCATGATATTAATAATAACAATCTAATCCCCTTATTCCTCCCAGTAAAAAAGGTAATCCCATTTAAATTGTAAACATAGATGTAATGTAAAAGTGATCCAAAAGCAGACAATGTGTTACTTAAATGGAATAATCAACTAAAATTCCTTGTGCAACTGTAATATGTGATAGATCAGTGTTATATGACCATTCATTATACCACATTTTTATGTTACTTTACCTTATTAAAATATCTTAAAATGTTCAAACCAGCGACCTTCTTGTTTTGTGGCAATTGTGCTATCCACTGCACCACCATAATGCCCGCAAGTCTTTGTTAATAAAACACATATTTTTTTCAGTACATGCTGGTACATGTGGTACAGGGAGGAGGAATATAATTTAGTAACAACATCTGGCAAAACTTGAAAATATGTGCCTAAATGTTACAAAATACTTTTTGTTTTTTAAATAGTTACAAATGTTAGGCATTGCCAGAAACAATGGAAGCCTGTTATGAAAGAATAGATTACATTTTTATCATGGCATTAGACGATACTTGTTTTTAAACCTATGGTGTAAAATAGATTTATTAGAAGAGATGAGAATGATAAACTACACTATCAACACGTACTATAGACTATGAGATCCTTGATTTCCATGTTGAGAAAGTGGTGGGCAGTCAGAGTTCTGCTCTTGATTGGTTAAGATCTTTCTTGTCAAACAGAAGTTTTTGTGTTATTGTTGAATAGACTTTTTCTTGGGGTTCCATAAGGTCTATTCTTGGCCCCATTTTATTTTCTTTATATATGTTACCTTAGAATCAAATTTTTAAATATGTGATGGCCTTTCATTTTTATGCTGCACACAGATTTTTGTCCTCCTTAAAAATGAAATTATTTTTAAACAATGAAATTATTTTTAAGGAAATCCACTTGACTCCCTTATAAGATGTTTAAGTGAGGTTAAGACCTAGCTGTCATCAATTTTTTTAAAACTTCAATAAGGGGAAAGTTAGTTGTTCTGGTTTGGGGAACCTGTTCCTCCTGACAGACCTGTTGTCAAAAACCTAGTGTTTCAGTTTGATAGTGATCTGAAATTTGACAAAAAAGGTAAATTACGTCCTTAAATCTATTTTTTTTCACTTACGGCTTGTGGCAAAAGTGAAGTCGTTTCTCTTGATTAACAAGAAGGTGATTCACGCTTTTATTCTAGGGAGACTTGACTATTAGAACTGTTTGTATGTGGGTATCACGTAAGCAGAAACATATATCTCCAGTACTTTCCTCCCTGGGTTGGATGCCTGTCAGATTCTGGATTCATTTTAAGTTATTAGATTTTGTTTATAAATTCCTAAAGAATCTGGCAACTCCTTGTTTATCAGATCTCCTACGTTTATGGTCCCGGTAGGTCATTAAGGTCATCAGATCAGTCTTTTCTTTCTGTATTAGGCTGTCTTGGATTGGGATTTTGCTGTATACTCCAAATGCTCTAATTAGCTTCCACCTCACATTAGATACATTCCAACTTTACTTGTTGAAAACCTTCTGAAATTGCATCTTTGTTCTTTAACATTTAAGCCTTTTGAATGTCGAGGGATTTTGTTTTTAGATTTTAGTTGTTATTTAAGTGCTGTGATTTGTTAATTTAGTGAGTATTGATTGTCTTCAGCACTTTGGATAATGCTGGGTTGTAAAATTTGCTATATAAATTACTATTGTTAGATTATAATTTTTTTTGTTAGAATGTATGCTGTTTGCATTAACAAAATCCAAAATTCTCAATTAAAAGTATGAAAAAGAAAAAAATGTCTACAAGAATGCACTATTTAATCATTTATTTCATTTTTTAAACAATTGAACAATTACACAGTATAAAATTAGGTTTTAATATTAACTGTGAGGGTTTTATTGGTTATCAGGCTGGTTTTAGGCTCATTTGAATTGGTCATCGAGCTATCAGTGTGTTATAGTATCTACTGGCACCTCCTTTCCATGTGACTCTGCCAATGAAATGGTCAAAGAGTGACAGGCCCTTCTTCACGTTACATTTTTCAGTTCCTGATAGTTTGTTTTCTTCCACACTTAGTATCTTGTAGCCGCTGGAAATAAGGAGGAGCTTCATTGTAATAAATGATAACAAGATGCTGTTTCATTGACATCACTGACCAGCAATCTGATAGCAGCATGCATGTGTCTTAAACAAAAACACATTAGTATGTAGTTAGTTAATGATAAGATTTCCAAGTGGGCAGAGTATATATCCCAGCTCAAGGTTCAGAACCCAGCACTTGTCACAGAGAACGCAGAATGAGTAAGCCATTTATTTACCTCTCTATTCTTTACACATTTTTTCAAACAAGTATTTTAAACCACTGCATAAAGGAGGTGTCGGTTTCGTATTTGTTGGTAGTAGTTAATGATTATTTTGGATGAGATTTGAAAACGGTCTTGTTTAGAAACTTTAATAGTTGGATCAAGGTTCATTTAAGCTGGTAAAGCCCTTTTGGTTACTTTTCTTGCAGAGGACAAAGAAGATTTGCAGTTGACGGACGTCTCGTATGGGAACGAACAAGGCGTGGATAATCCAGTCTTTGTGAAGGTATGTTTGAGAAGAAGTGAGGGAGTTTTAGAAGATTTAAAGGTATAGTTCACGCAGAAATGAAGATCTACTCGGCATATTTGTTTTAAACAAAAAAAGAAGATATTTTGAGAAATGTTGGAAACTAGTAGCTAATGAGAATCAGTATACACTGTTAAAATTACATTAATAGTTTCCATTTATTTATGGTGGAATTGCATTATGAGACCTTGATCTCTGCTCTGTCGACTTCTGATATTGAAAATTCAAGTGGCTTTTATTGACATTTTAGTAGTTTGAAATAATAATGTATAAGAAATAATATGTAGAGAAATAAGTCTGTAAATTAACAGAAAAAATACTGGCAGTTTTGGTACTGTATATACAACACTAACCCAGACAATGTATCACTTCAAACTATTAACAATGTTAATAAAAGTCACTTTAACTCTCATTGTTAAATGTTGTTGGAAGAAAAAACAAGGCCCCATGTTGCAATTCAAAAGCATAAATAAACAGTGAAAAAATATCAATCTAAAATAATGGAAAATGTATCATTTTTGGGATATTTTTAACAGTGTAATAAAAGACTATGCAAATCAACGGATGCCTTTTTCTAATAATCTTCAAAAACCTTGTTTGTACAAAATAAAGAAACTCAAATAGGTATGGAACAAGAAAAGGGAGAGTCATGGCAGAATTTTAATTTTAAACTATCCCTTGAAGAAGTTAACAGTACTGATTGTTTGTTTATCTATATAGGAGGATACATTACCAGATGACCTGAGTGACAGTGACAAAGAGTCAGAGAAGGATTCAAAGTCAGAGAAGGAGTCAAGCTCATGCATGAGGTGTGTGTCTGACAATCTAATCTTCAAATATGATGTTGTTCACATTCCATTGTCACGTTATTTGGAAATGAGATTCCTTTGGAATTACATAATAATGCCTAATACCAGACTAATTACTAATACTAATTAGGAAAGATTGATACGTGTAAATACTTTACTTTAAACTTTATTGTGTTTTTATCAGTTTACTGTTTAATTAAGTAATTAACATTTTAGTAATATATAATTTAATGAGAAAAAAAATGAGGATGATGATAATAGTGTCATTTTTTTTGCAAAAAAAAGCAATTTAATGATCTGATAATTTTACTTATCAAAATTACATTTCTAGCCATTGTTAAGAAAATGTAAAATTACCATCCGACTGACAAGTAACCCTGTTTCTTATGTTTTCCAACACCAACTTTTATTCGCATTTAGTCCTACTTTACAATTCACATATACAAAGTTATTCTCCATTGTTTGTTACAGCAAAGCATGTCTACCCATCACAGTCACAGAGACCTTCTTCAAGACTCACTCCAAAATAATCAAATATATTGTGTTGGCAATCCTTGCTGCAGGTTATATATCTTCATCCTCCCAGTTTAATATCTATAATTGCATTAATGCATTGGTGATCCTTCTCTCAAAGTGATCATGTATTTTGTGTTTATTTCCTATTGTAGGTTATCTGGCGTACTTCATTTATGCCTGTTATTTAAGCTTCCAGAGGGCTCTTGCATTGGTGGTCCTCACTTGTCTGGGAGTTTTCATCCTCGTGTGCGAACTAGTGTTTCGGTACAAGGGTGACAGCATCAAGAGGTGCTTCAAGCCTGTGCAGAGATGTTTTAGATCCAATATGAAATGGATGAAATGGTGAGTAGGACTTTAATACACTATACCCTTAAATCTTTAATGTTTTTTGAAAGAAGTCTTTTTTGTTAGCATTATTTTAAGTAGTATTTAAATATTGTAAAACAATATTAAATAAATAAAACCTATTTTGTATGTTAAGGTATTTTAAAATGAAATAGATTTCTGTCACGGTACTCCAGTCTTTATCGTCACATGATCTTTCAGAAATCTAGTAGTAATTCTAATAAGCTAAATCCTTATCCTTATTAATATTGTTATTAATCTTTTTGCTATCTATCTATCTATCTATCTATCTATCTATCTATCTATCTATCTATCTATCTATCTATCTATCTATCTATCTATCTATCTATCTATCTATCTATCTATCTATCTATTATCTATCTATCTATCTATCTATCTATCTATCTATCTATCTATCTATCTATCTATCTATCTATCTATCTATCTATCTATCTATCTATCTATCTATCCATCCATCCATCCATCCATCCATCCATCCATCCATCCATCCATCCATCCATCCATCCATCCATCCATCCATCCATCCATCCATACATACACAAACATATATATATATATATATATATATATATATATATATATATATATATATATATATATATATATATATATATATATATACTGTTAAAACAGAATTATAAGCCCCCCTGTTTATTTTTTCCCAAATTTCTGTTTAACAGAGAAATTTTTTTTCAACACATTTCTAAACAAAAAAAGTTTAAATAACTCATTACTAATAACTAGGGATGTAAAAATATTGTAAATACCGTCATACCGCAATAGTAATTTTTTTCAATATTACCGTAGGCTCATGACTCAATAAAACTATAGTTCTAAGAAAAGTTTGCTTAGGCGAATGAAGCGAACGGGAGGTAGCAGGAACTACAATTCCCATCAGCCTAGGCATGGCCATCATCCATTGCGGTCTGTTGTTACTATCCAGTAATGCAGAAATGGAGTGTGTTGCTAGTAGCGGGGAAGAAAAAGAGCTGGAAATGTTCGAACCTAAAGCGGGTTTTAAATCGGATGTGTGGAAGCATTTCAGTTTCTTTTTAAAAAGATACGAAAAAGGAGAAAAGGTGACAGACAAAGAAAAAAACAATATGCAGGCACTGCCAGACTGTGGTGAAATATAAGTCGGGGTATACGACTAAAAACAGTCATGGGGACTGCAGAACACAGCACACTTGTTAGATTGATGCAGACATTAGTCCCTGAAAGGGGCTACTGACTTGTACCGCAAAGAGACCTCTATCTCACTCATGGCTTGTCCTCTCAAGTGGTGGAAAGACAATGCACAACGTTACCCACAACCTTGGCTAAATCATATCTCTCTGTCCCAGAAACCTCAGTCCCAAATGAGAGGGTTTTTTTTTTCTGTTGCAGGGAGATGCCCAGAGATCCCAGCTTTTACCAGATTATAGTTATATGATAATTTTCCTTAAAAAACCATCTCTATCTAAGTGAGTGAGTGATTAAATGTTGAATGTGATGAGTTTTCAAAAATACTAAATTGAAACTATTTTTTTTATATGGTTTAATAGTTTTTTGTTATTAAAATTGAAAAATTTAAGTTCCTGTTTTGAAACTTACAGATAGATGGCTAATTTGTATGTCATTGATATGTTCAGTGCTAAGGTAAATAAACACTTTTGGCACTTTTTTCAAGTCTTTTCATTAGTTTTGTTTTTCCTGTAAATTATTCTATAAATATCATACCGTGCCATTCATACCGAGGCATTATCGTACCGTGAAGTTCTGATACCGTTACATTCCTACTAATAACTGATTTATTTTATCTTTGGCATGATGACAGGAAATAATATTTGACTATATATATTTCAAGATACTTCTATACAGCCTAAAGTGACATTTAAAGGCTTAACTAGGTTAATTAGGGTAACTCGGCAGGTTAGATTAATTAGACAAGTTATTGTATAACGATGGTTTGTGAAGACTATTGAAAAAATAAAAGCTTAAAGGGGCTTATAATATTGACCTTAAAAGTATTATTAGGGGGCAAAGAGTTATGACTTCAACTGTAAATACACACACACACACACACACACACACACACACACACACACACACACACACACACACACACACACACACACACACACACATACATACATACAAAATGGACATTTTTGAGTTGACTCAACTTTCAACTCAGTTACTGCACTTGACTCAATTTAAGTTGAGTAAACTAAAAAATGTCCTGAAGTTTGTTGCCTTAAAATTTTGAGTCAACTTTTTTTTTTTTACAGTGAAGTTTAAAATTAGTTAAAAACATTATCATTGGAATTTGCTTTGGCATTTTAAAATATAGTGCTTGTTGATCACAAGCTGCTACATAATTCCTAAAACTAGCACAATAATGGGAGTTCTATACTATCATGTACTTAAATAGCAACTTGTTAGCCAAAATTAATTTTTTGAGGGAATTCCTAGTGTAATACAAAACAGTAATTTTAATGTTTACCACAGTTCTTTATTACTCATAAATCGAAAAATGTATAATGCTTAAGAACTCAAGTTAACAGAAACAGTAACAGAACTATAACAAAAAAAAAATCCAAACTGTGGTTTATGTAATTTTTGCATCAATGCTTCTAGTTTATATAATAGTTCTCTCATAGTTTCTGTTTTGTCATACTCGCCATGCTATCTTAGTATCGGGATGCTAATATAACAGTTTTTTTAGTTTATTTTCCACTTTCATTTTAAAGTTGGATAAAAGATTTTTATTTGTCTTTTTTAATAAGATATCTATTTTATAATGGACATCACTAGTCTCTCGGAAATCACTAGTCTCTCACTCTCTGTGGTAAATTTGATCGAATTCACTGTTCACTGTCTGTAATGAGATTCAATGTATTTGGATTCTTTCTGTTGATGAATGTTGATGGTCTTTTTCAAGTGGGCTTTCAGTTCTTTCTTTTTCAGCCTTTTAGCAAACTTGATTGAATGGGTTAAATTGTAAATGTCCAATGTCCAATCTAGAAATTAGCAACTTCTGTTGGTTTAGTTTTGCTCTAAACTGTACATAAGTCTATACTGAACCCCTGTCTGTGTGATGCTGTATGTTTGCAGGGTATTCATAGTAATTGTGGTTGGTCTGTTGGTGGCATGGCTGGCAGTCGACACACGAAAGCGCCCAGAGCAGCTCATCTCTTTTGGTGGCGTCTGTCTGTTCATTGTTGCAATATTTCTCTTCTCTGCACACCGAACTGCAGTGAGTGATAAAACACACGCGCCTGCATTACATGCTTTATTGAACGTACTTATCTCAAAATGCATTTTAATTTAGACTTTGGAATTCCTGCAAACCTTATCACATTGTAGAGGCTATTCCTCCTATTATTTTCCAACAATAAAACAGTTAAATAGAAATTGGGCCTCATTCACCGATATCTTCATAGGAATTTCCATTCATTTGTTTTTGGGAAGCTTCCTGAGAACAATCTCTGACAGATTAATGACATTATTTTTAAGCAACAGAATTGTTTGCACCTGCTTTCTTATAGTGAAACTCTTTTCATAGTGAAATAATGTCTTATTTATTGAAAGTCCATGACATTTTTCGTAGACGTACCATGTCCAATTAAATTTTGGATGTCGAAGAGAATTTTTTATTTATTTATTTACAGAACATAAACTATATATCTCACTCTACATACAAATGATTGTATTTGTAGTGTAAAGGAGGCTTTAGACCATAGGTCTGAAACTGGATTCCTGGAGAGCCACAGCTCTGCACAGTTTTGCTCCAACTCTAATCAAACACCGCTGATTCAACTAATCAAGGTGTTCAAGACTACTAGAGACTTTTAAGCAGGTGTGCATTGGAGATGGTTCAAACTAAAATCTGTAGAGCTGTGGCCCTTCAGAAATTGAGTTTGAGACCACTGCTTTAGACTACAGGCAATCATATTATGCAGTACTTTAACCTAGCTACCTATAGCTGGGGTCTATTTTCAGTTGCTACGTAATCGTTGCCCAGCCATGGTTCAGCAACAAAGTTCCTTGATTATTAGACCAGAATGAGAGTATAGTTCATAGCCATATCGACCTAGAAAATTGCAATTTTTAATTTTTCATCAGTTGTAGCACATGATGGTGTGATTAGAACATGTCATCAACTGCTGAATTCAGAGAGGCGCATGGTGCCTGTCATGTAATCACTTTGGGCCCTATCATACACCCTGTGCAATGTGGCGTAAGGCGCGACGCAATTGTTACTTGCTACTTTCAGCTCGGCGCAAGAGTCGTTTTGAGGTGTTGCGCCACGCTGTTTAAATAGCAAATGCATTTGCGCTTATATGTGCGCCCATAAGCATTCTGGTCTAAAAAAGCAGGCGTGTTTTGGCACGTTGCTATTTTGAGGAACTATAATAGTCTGTTCTTTAGACCAGAACAAAGTCGGTCTGTTGTCTGGCGTAGAGTGCGCCTGGCTTACACACTGTTTAAAACACACAAGAAGTAGAGCAATACGCAAATATCTTTACATATGAAAAATATATAAAATATTAGGGATATATATATATATATCTAGTATATAATAAGGATATATATATAGGATATAAATATAAAGGATTAAAATATTACAAAACAAAGGATTTTCTAGCCTACATGAATTTAAAAACCACTGCCTTCATACTTTCTTCATCTCGGGAGGCTTTTTCAGTTCGTTCACTTTGCTTTTGTATAATGTTATCATTATTAGCAGTATCATTTTTATATCCATATTTAAGTTTATGTTTTATGAAAGTGAATCTAGATTATAAAATGCCTTATCTCTCATTCTCGCACGGTAGATGCTCTGTTTAACTTTTTTCTTGCTAGTGAAATGCTCAGTTTTTCCACTTCCACTTACTTTACGTCATGTAAATAGCAAATGCGCTTATGGCACGATGCAACTGGCTCTTAAAGGGAATATGAGATAATACTCTGATTGGTTTATTCTCAAAACACACCTATAACTCATTAAGAAAATAAACTCAACCCTTTTAGACCATGCGCTACGGCGCAAAGCGGATTTTTCCGTCCTTATATTAGCAAAAATACGCCCAGAAAGTGTTTGCACCCTGTGCTCTGCGCTTTGTGCATGGATCATCAAAAAAGAGCCCTTTGATTCACATTTACCATTGTTTCCAAAACAAAAACCATTTATTTTTTAGTTTTAGACATTCATATACACATAAGTACTAGCAAAACATTTAAGTTTTGTAAAATACACGCAGAAGTCTATAAGATGGCAATGATAATTATTTTTAAGTGTAACTTGATGATGTGCTTTATTTACATCAAATACACACTGTTTGTGTTACTAATACATTTACTGGAATACTCTCCAAGTTAAACAGCCACTAACTTTCATGTAGTTTGGGAGAAAATTATGAATTATGTTGTAAATGCAGCAGCTCTGATCTCACCTGCAGGGTAGACTATTACGTAAGCTTAATCCATCATTGACCAAACAATATGATAATTTTTAAGCTGAATGTTCTGAGAATTGAAATATAAGATATTTAGGACATTTCTCAATATTTGCAGCAAAGGAAAAAAGAAACAAACCACATTATATACATAAATCATCAGGGCTGTGGTGTGCGTGATATGCTTGATGTATCACCATGGAAACTTAAATCGCTGCACTCTAAAGAATGGTCACATAAAAAAAAAATTCACACAGGGGGGTCAGCAGGAGTATTTAAATGTTTGTGTGAAAGGGTTAAATAGAAAAATTATGGAAACACTTTTAATTTTTGAGCAGTCCAATCCCAAGTGTTTATTATAATTCAATGATTTATGCTAAGCTAAGCTGCTCTTAAAAGTACTCCATAGTTTATTTGAATGGATTTAAAAACGATACAGCTTCACTGTATAACTATAAAGGAGTTGTAAAATTAAAAAGAAAAAAAAAGAGTCAGGGTTTCTGCAAGTTTCATCAAATCAAATTTAAGACTTTTCAGGACTCTTTTAAGACCATTATGAAGGGAATTTTAGACTTACAAAGAGATGAACACTTTTTTTTTCAATGGAATTTGTTTTTGCTTAAAAAATCTATTAGCTCCCTGTTTTAACGTGTCATTTTTTCTCAATAATTTTTTTAAACCAAATGTACTTTGGGTCCCAAAAATTGGGTCCCACTTTATATTAAGTGTCCTTAACTACTATGTACTTACATCAAAAAATAAATACAATGTACTTACTGTGTTCATAAAGTATTTGAGAACACTTGTGGTGCTCTTGAGTTGGGATAGGGGTTGGGTTAGGGACAGGTTTGGTGGTATGGGTTGGTTTAACGGTGGGTTAAGGTGTAGGGAATGGTCAGCAATGTATTAACAAATGTAATTACAGAAGTTAACTACAGATGTAATTACATACAGGTTTTTAAGCAAGAATAAGTACACAATAACTACATGTATTTACACAATAAGTACATTGTAACAAACTATTAATTTCTGTGTAAGTACATATTAGTTAAGGCCACAATATAAAGTGGGACCAAAACTTGCTTATTATGCCTATTTACAAATATTATGTTCACTCCCCCTTACTTCTGTAAATAGTTTTTGTACAAACAGAAGATCATATAAAGGCATATATTGTCCTATTATTGCCAAGAGGAATTATGCAATTGTTTATAGTTTTCTTTTCCTAATTAGGGAATTTAATTTAGAGAATGTTCTGTAAAAAAATGTCTAAAAGCAGTTGTGATTGTATCTCTGCAAAAGAAAAACAGTATATTAAGATGTATTGTTGATAATTGGATGTGTGTTGGGCCAATTGGGTAGCTAATATTTAAAATAAAACCTTTTTAAAATGATTTAAGACCTACAACACAATATTTTAATGAATTTAAGACTTTTTAAGGCCTAAAATTAATTTTTTTGAAATTTAAGACAGACTGGGAGCGTTGCCTTTAAAAATTGTAATTTAATCAGGTCTATTGATTTTAATCATCCACAAATGCACACTTAATGTGTTTGCTAACAGAATGCTTGTTTGTGTTGAATTGTGATTAGGTGAGATGGAGCACTGTCTTCTGGGGTCTTGGTTTACAGTTTGCCATTGGTCTGTTTGTTATTAGGACAGAGCCTGGTCTCGTTGCATTCGAATGGCTCGGAAAGCAAGTTCAGGTATGATTTAAATACATCCTTATAAGGTAATAGCAATCGTTTGTTTATATGTTTGTAATGTATTATGCACACTAAATTATTGTCCATCACACCTGAAAGATACCTCTTTAAATGTTAAAGTTAATATGTTACACTCTGTGTGGTAACATATTGAAGTCAGACAAAGATGAATGATTATTTAAGCAAAAAGGAAGAAGGATAAAATAGAAAGTGATGAACCATGTGCTTTTTTCTTGCTTTTTTTTTTTAGATTTTTCTGGACTACACAAAAGCTGGTTCCGGGTTTGTGTTTGGAAACCTCATTGACAACATATTTGCATTCCAGGTTAGTATAATGGCTCACTGGATAAAATGAGCCAAACTCCAAATACTTAGTGTTCTCTGCTGTCTCTAGCTGGAATAAGCACAAGGGACAGTAAAACACCAGCCACTTTTATTTAAAAAACAAATCATAATCAAAACTTAAATTAAACAGATCACCATTTACTCACATTGAAGTGGTTCTAAACTTTTATGAGTTTCTTTCTTCTTATGAACACAAATCAAAATGTTCTGAAGAATGTTGGGGGGGGGGGAAAGCAGCCACTGACATTCACAGGAACAAAAATACTATGGAAGTCAATAATTGTTTTTTCAGCACTCTTTAGTTTTCCTTTGTGTTCAATAGAAAAAAGAAACTCAAACAGGAAGTGAAGAGAGAGTAAATGATGACAGAATTGTCTTTTATGGGCAAGCTGTCCCTTTAATTGAAAACTCACGTCTGCATGACTACACAAACAATGGTTAATCACCAAAAAACACGTTTACCACGGTGAATGATTGGTAAACTAATGAATTAAACATTTGCATCACACCTCTACCTTTCTACACAAACACAGTTTTGGTGGTTTGTTATTTTCAAATCCATTATTTATTTATATGTATGTGTCAAATCCAAAAAGATTGGTTCACCTGAATGTTACTCAATCTTTACAGGCTCTGCCTATAGTGGTGTTCTTCAGCAGTGTAATGTCAGTTCTGTACTACCTAGGGGTGATGCAGTGGGTCATCACAAAGGTAACTCATTTCAGTCTTGTAGCAATTTAATCTGTGCTATACAAGATCTGTTCTTGATCGTGTTAACATTAATAAATGAATATGAATGTACTTTTTTTCTCCAAGATCTCCTGGGTAATGCAAGTAACAATGGGAACATCCTCCACAGAGACTCTCAGTGTAGCAGGAAACATCTTTGTTGGCCAGGTAATATTCTGTCATCAGTTCTGTGATTCACGTTATCATTTAAAACACAAATGTATAAAAAAATATTAAATGTCTTACTATATAAAGATTTACACTTAACATTTAGTTAAGGGGCAACATGGTGGCTTAATGGTTAGAACTGTTGCCTCACAGCTAGAAGTCCCAGCTGGGTCAGTTGGCATTTCTGTGAAGAGTTTGCATGTTCTCCCTGTGTTAACATGGGTTTCCACCGAGTGCTCCGGTTTCCCACACTGTCCAAAGACATGCATTATAGGTGACTTGAATAAACTAAATTGGTTGTAGTGTATGTGTGTGAATGGAGAGTGTATGGATGTTTCCCACTACAGGGTTTTGGCTAGAAGGACATACAGCACACAAACATATGCTGGATAAGTTGGCAGTTTATTTTACTGTGGCGACCCCTGATGAATAAAGGGACTAAGCCGAAGGAAAATGAATGAAAGAATGAATGAATGAACATTTAGTTACACCATAGACTCAAATTTTCTAAAACAACTCTTATGAAATTTAGAGGTGCATCAAGCATTTTCTCGAGAAAGATGCTCCTTTATTCCTTATGTGATGTGTTCAGGGATTTATCTTTAAAAAATTAATCAAAAAATTTGGTGAGGGAACAAAACTTTGCTAATGTTCTAATGCCCTCAAAATCACAATTGTTTTTTTTTTTTGTGTGTGCCTTCAGGTGTTAAAATTATTTTTGTATAATTATCTATAAAGGTATAACACTTTTACGCAACGATTTTTACGATTTTACGCAAATGTCACACATATTTGGAGCAGAATTGTTTTGATAATGTATGTCTAAATCAGTTTTTGGTTAATGTTAAGCTAATGTTAAAGTTTAATTTAAATTAAATTTAAAAACTGTCCATTGTAATATTTATTTTGTTTTGTTAGGAATAATTATACAAGTGTCGTAAATTTAGACTGTTTTTAAATAATTATGCAATTAATTTAAGTTTTCAATGTTATACATTCAAATGTAATTAATCTGAATTTTATTCTATTCAATTCAAAGGAATTAATACTGGCATATACTTCTAATACTTCTCAAATAGCATGCTTTCATGAATATATACAGTATACACATGGTAATAACATGGCACCATTCCCAAAAAACTAAACAAAAAAACTTTCATATTTACTCATTAGTTGCTTGTGAGATGGACTGTGGTTTTAGTTTGTTACTTTACTATAGTTTTTACTTCAGCGTATTACTTTTTAGTAATAGTACTTCAAGGCTGCTTTTTAAACAACAATTCTTTTTAATCCAAAGAATGCAAATATATTATAGAGATTGATTTTGCAGACACGAGGGATAAAATTTAGCAGTTACATTTATTTTACAATGTATTCATTGATTGTAACTATTATCACTGTCGTAACGTTCTTATGTTTTGTTTTGTTTTGTTCCAGACAGAGGCTCCCCTTCTGATCCGTCCCTATCTAAAGGACATGACCAAATCTGAGATTCATGCAGTGATGACTGGTGGATTTGCAACCATTGCTGGAAGTGTAATGGGTGCTTTCATCTCATTCGGGGTATGACATTTGTACTTCTATTAATTAGTAAAATTTATATTTGAAATCCCTTTTTACTATCATTTACACTTGTAAACAAATTACGGTAAATCTATAGTTAAAAAAACAGTTGCTCTGGGGTGCGTTGCCCAAAACCATCGTTAGCCAACTAAGGTCGCAAGTTCCGTCATTAAAAGAATGGTTTGTTGATTTGCCGTTTCCCAAATCCATCGCTCCAACAAACATTTGCAAACTTAAGCACTCACAACCACACTTCTGGAGCTGTCGTTAGAAACATAGTTCCTGGCTGTGTTCTATTCCCACTTATCTCCCCATGCCCTATTCTTTTAGAACATTCTAACATTCAAAGTTGGAATTATTAAAAATAAAGAATTAAAAATAAAGAATTAAGGTCATCTCTTTTCAGTGTAATTTGCTTTCAAACTATTTTTACAGTTCAGTTTTAGCAATCTTCATGTTTACAATTGCGCTCCCTTCGCAGTGCACTTTGAAAAAATTAAGGTCATTTTGAACGCAGGCTCAAGCGAAAGCTATAGGTGATCTATTATTTAAAATTTATAACGGATTTTATGTTACGTCACACGTTAATTCTTTTTATAGGCGATGCAGTGGCGCAGTGGGTAGCACGTTCGCCTCACAGCAAGAAGGTCGCTGAGTCGCTGGTTCGATCCTCAGCTCAGTTGGTGTTTCTGTGTGGAGTTTGCATGTTCTCCCTGCATACATGTGGGTTTTCTCCGGGTACTCCGGTTTCCCCCACAGTCCAAAGACATGCGGTACAGGTGATTTGGGTTGGCTAAATTGTCCGTAGTGTGTGTGTGTGTGTGTGTGTGTGTGTGTGTGTGGGGATGTTTCCCAGAGATGGGTTGTGGCTCGAAGGGCATCCACTGCATAAAAATTTTTACGGTTCATTCCGCTGTGGCGACCCCGGATTAATAAAGGGACTAAGCCGACAAGAAAATGAATTAATAATTCTTTTTATTTATAGTGAGTTATTAATTAAGTATCTTTACTCTATATGACATGGGCCTGCTGGTTAGAACATTCTGCAATGGTTAACAAGTGTTAAATTGTAAAAGTACACTTTTCAAAAAAATAAATAAATAAAAAATAAATAAACTATACTTTTCTTAATAATGAAAATAATAATAATTATATGAATAATAATGATAATAATCATCATCATCATCATCATCATCATCATCATCATCATCATCATCATCATCATCATCATCATCACTAATATTATTAATATTATTATTAAATTATGATTTTTTTCATTTTTAATACTTAAATATAAAAATAATAATAATTATCATCATAGTCATCCTCATTATGACCATAATTAGTATTATTAATATTATTATTTAAAAAGATTTAATTTCCTAATATATAATAAATATTAGTACATTTAATTTTATAATAGATAGCCTCATTATTTATTTATTCATATGATTTATATATGATATTAGATTACGTGTTAGCTTTTGTAGGTGATATGTTTTAGAATAGGATTTGTCATATTCTCAACCATATTTGTAAAGGAAACATAGGCTCTATATGTGGCGTTTGCATATAATTTGGTTAATATGGAAATCGAGTGCATGTTTTTACCAAAACTAACATTGGATTTTATTTTAAATGCGTGTTTGTGTAAAACAATATAATTTGCACAAAGAAATGATGAGGTTCTTCTCTAAAGAAGTAGTTCCTCCGCCCCATTTAGAACGTCATTATGGGCGTTTTACTCTATAACTAACATGGTTTAAGCGATGGATCTGCAACAGGGAAACTATGCGTTTTGGTAAACACTTGTCACTACACCGTTCTTTTCCCAATTGATGCATCGTACTATGATAGTTCAGCCGTGAGTTACGTCGTTGTTTGGGAAACGCACCCCTGGTTACCAGAATTTTACAGTTAAAAATACAATTAGAAACTGCAAAACATATATTTTTAATTATATCACAGTAGATACTGTATTTTAACACTTTCAGTTTTACTATATTACATGGTAAAACACATGACACTGAAGTAATGCAATACAAATGAGCAAAAAAACTATAATGTCAAAAACAGAAGGAGTGAAGTGTTATCCAGGGAGTTCCAGAAAATGTATATTTACGATTATTCACCATATACTGTATATTAGGGAAACTGACTTTAAACCAGGCTACAGAATTTCCTCTGTAGCAATTTTACACTTTTTTACTGTTAAAATCAATGCCATCTTTAACCCTTATGTTCTTTTGGGGATGCTTTCATTCACTCTGAAGTGATTTTTGTGTCCTGATTTGGCCATTACGTTTTCTGTGTTTCAGCTAGCAGAATGGTTTTTGGTGACAAATCTTATTTTGAAATATTTTGTGAAAATGCTTTGATAAAAAAAAACTCAACAATAAGCTCTGGGCTAAATTTACTTTCCTTTTGTTATGTTAGCGATGAAAACATCCACTGAATTAAACTGCTGTAAAAATACATCAGACAAATAATATTTGCAAATGTTTTGCATAAATCTGTTAATCATCATTTGGCACTATTCCTTTATTTATGCACCATCAAATGTGGTTATAATGGAAGTCAATGGGGCAAAAACAGCCACCAACAGTAAATAAGGGAGAAAAAAAATCTAAAAATGCATTAAAGCCAGTGTTGTTACTAATCTTTCACATGTCCAAGACTTTGATAAACAATTACCTTTTATATTAAAATACATCACTTTGTGTGTTTTTTCACCAAATCAGTGACATCGTTGTCATTTGTGAACTTCGCAATTAACGAAATAAAATCCTGTAATTTGCTAAACAATTTAGCACAGTAGTTTTGAACAGGACTGAGGTTGATTAACAGATTTATGCAAATAATTTGAAAAAAATCTTCATCTGATGCATTTTTACAGCAGTTTAATTCAGTGGATGTTATGATCCCTGACATAACAAAAGTGTAGTAAAATTGAACAGTGCACAAGGGTTAACAGAATGCTTATTGTTTTTAGCATGATTCCAGTGATGCTAGTTCAGTAGCCATTAATTGTTACCTTTAACTTTACCAAGGCAATAAAATCAACTATGTAAAAAAAAAAAAAAACATTTACCCATTTAACTTAAAAATGATCAGGTTTGGTTATTACTACAGTATGTTTTGGGATAATGAATGTCTTTTGTATACAGATTGATGCCTCGTCTTTGATTTCTGCTTCAGTGATGGCTGCTCCATGTGCTTTAGCCATCTCCAAACTGTCCTACCCTGAAACGGAAAAGAGCAAGTTCACATCTAAAAGTCAAATTAAAGTGGACAGTGGGTGGGTTTACCTCTCACATATGAGTTAAGGTGTCTTTCTCATGTGTGTCATGTAGAAATATCTTTATGTAATGCCATGTTGTTTGTTCTCAGAGGTGAGCAGAACGTGTTGGAAGCTGTTAGCGGCGGTGCGTCTGCTTCTATAGGGCTTGTGGCCAACATTGCTGCTAACCTGATTGCTTTTCTTGCCATCTTGGGCTTCATTAATGCAACTCTAAGATGGTTGGGGGGCATGGTGGGATACCCAGATGTCACCTTTGAGGTGTGTAGCATAATCTTTTTTCATTTGAAGAGAAAATTATTAGTCCTCCTGCATGTGAAATTTTAGTTCTGTTTCAAATATTTCCAAAGTGATGATGAACAGAGCAATGACATTTTCACAGTGAGTAGGTTAACATGGACAACAATACTCAGATTTTTGTACAAATCACTGTTTACATACCATGTAAACAGTGATTTTTTATTAATTTAATCCAATTAAAGTCATAATTGAACTAAACAGAATTCAGATTAAGACACGTGGAGTATGCCCATTTTAGTCGCATTATGGAATTGCAGTCCAGTAAGCACCGCATTCAAACTATTACCGTAGTGTAGGAATTTTGCCACATTTTGTGACAAGATAGCTTATACACACAGCTGTTTGACACTATTCTCTGCACCTACCAAGTCAGTGAAGGACCACAGACACCTGCATTGTGAAATGTGGAGGTTTTTCCCCATTCATGCGGTATCACTTTCCATTAAAACAACACTCTTCTAGCAGTTCATCCTTGCATCCAATATCTCGTTTGTCATGGGGGCATGCAAGAAATGTTCCTGAATGAAAGTGAAAGTGCCAAACTGCAGTTAAAGTCGACAAATTAAAAATAAAACACCAAATTACATAAGACTCCAGAGGAAATGTGGATGACGCAGTGATGTTAATCAAATAATCAAATCAAATCACTTTTTAGGTCACATGAGCAGCAGCACGTGCAATATGATGAGTGAAAAGCTTAGCTGCTGGCTCCAGACAGTGCAAATACAACAGTGGTAAAATGACAATGTAAATACAACGACAGCGCAAAATACACCCCCCCCCCCCCCCAATCATATTATTGTCTTATTCAGATTTAGACAAATAATTTGATTACTGATGTCCATGTAAACGTAGTCAGTATTTAATATAGTATTTTTCTTCTCAAGTCTTATTTCTTTTAGTTTGGCTGGATTTAAAAAAAATTGGTAATGTTGATCTTATTAGCTCCTTTTCATTTTTAAAAAAAATTGGATACAGAGCAAATCAGTAATCCCCCTAATTAGCTGCCTAGTTAACATAATTCATCTCTTGTTAAGCTTTTAAATGGCACGTTAAGCTGAATACTAGTGTCTTACAAAATAACTAGCAAAATATACAGACAACTGAAATTGGTCATTACAAATGAACCATTATGCTTTTATGTTTAAAAACCATTATATTTAAAAATGTGTTGAAAGAAATATTCTCTCCTTCTAACAATATTTTTTAAAGAATTCAAATTTCACATGAGTGCTTTAATTTTTACTTTAAAGGTTGATTCATTTATTACAGAGCACCTATTTTACCCCTTTTACAAGATGTAAGATAAGTATCCAAAATGTGTCTGTAAAGTTTCAGCTTAAAATACCTATCAGATTATTCATTATAGCCTTCAGAATCTGCCCATTTTGGTGTCTGAATACAGTGTAGCTATTTTTGTAGCCTGTGGCTTTAAATGCAAATGAGCTGCTTCTCACCACCCACCGCTCCCACGTGTGTGTCTGCTTCTCATCATGCATTATGTCAGATAAACAGCACAGTGCATGTGCTGTTTATTCACTGTGTTGTAGCTGAAATAATTAGCCATTAGTCAAAAATACCAAGTAAGTTTTTTTTTAATGAATTTGTGAAGTTTATTCAAGCCTTTCTGAAATGATGAGTCTCAGACAACTGCTGTTTGAAGTACACACCCACACACACACACACACACACACACACGCACACACACAGACATTTTAGCATTTACTGACACCATGTGGCTATGGTGATTATAGCAGTTAAGAATTAGATAGTGATTTTACTGTCTTTATTCCAAATATGATGTTTTAAAAATGTTTTAAACTTATAAATAGTATAAAAATCACAGGGAGTTGTAACAGATATTTTAATCCCAGTTTCCTTGCAAAAAAAGGCAATAAAGGTGCCCTTTAATATATTATATAGTAAGATATTTATTTTGAAGAAGGTTATATTTATTTAACAAAAATCATTAGTGGAAAAAACAGCACAATTGTAAAATGCTATTAGAAATGACAATAACTGTTTTTAAATTTTATTTTATTTTAACATGTAGTTCAGACTTGTGATTCACAGCTATATTTTTGGCTTTATATTTAAAAGTGTTCTAAAAGCATGTTCATCTTCAATCCCTTAGCTGATCTGCTCTTTTGTCTTCATGCCGGTGGCCTTCATGATGGGAATTCCATACGATGAGTCTTTCAAAGTGGCTGAACTCATCGGCACTAAACTCTTCCTCAATGAGTTTATAGCCTACGAGAAGCTGTCAGAGCTCAAAAACAACAGGCTTAATGGCATTTTAGATGACAACGGAGATCCAAATTGGATCTCAGTAAGTATTTGTGTGGGCTCATCAAAATATGCATAAATTTGCCATTAACATACATAATTAGTGGTTTGTGGGGTGCATTAAATGGATACTTCACCTCAAAAACAATACTTGCTCACCCACAAAGAGCTCCAAACTTTTATGAGATTATTTTTTCTTTTGAATACAAAAAGAGGATATTTTGAAGAATGTTGCAAACCTGAAACAACAACTACATCCGTAGTTGGAAAAAATAAATCTCTTTAAATGTGTTTTGTCCAAACTTTTTGCAGGTTCGGTCAGAAATCATCTGCACTTATGCCCTGTGTGGCTTTGCTAATTTCAGCTCTCTTGGAATTGTGATTGGAGGCCTGTGTGAGTATCTGTTCAAATTTTTATAGTCCTGACAATGCATCTTATGACATTTTTTTGGGCATTTTTTTCAGTAGATATTTATATAACATCACTGACTGATACTTTTTAAAAATGGTTTTGTTTCACAGCCTCTATTTGTCCACCAAAGAAGGGAGTAATTTCTTCTTTAGTGCTCAGAGCCTTGTTCACAGGCACATGTGTTTCTCTGATCAATGCCTGTATTGCTGGTAAGACATCAGTTATTATCAAAATCTATTTTCATATTTAGTCAAGCCAACATCACAGCTTCATGTATCATTATTTTTTTCAAATTTACACATTAACTTACTGGATCGATTCCCTGAGGATTTGCCACAGGAGTAAAACTGGTGGTTTGTGGGCTGTTCAGTTTCAGAACTTTTTTGCTTGATTTAAAGCACAGGTGTCAAAGCCAGTTCCCGGAGGGCTGCAACTCCGCACAGTTTAGTTTCAACCCTAATTAAACACACCTGATCAAACTTTCAGGCCTGTTTGAAACCTACAGGTAAAGCTGCGGTCACACTAGACTTTGAACTTGCGAAATTCTGTAGTATGGCGCTGCAAAAAGGGGCGGGATTTAACAAGATAATTAGACATGTAAAAAAGCAAGCGATTGATCCATATTTTAAGTTTCTGTCCAGAGAGGTCATGCTTTGATCCTCGATTGTTCTCACACAGTCAAATATTATATAATTTTAAAAGAAATAGAATAAATATATATTATATAGTTATACTTTTAGCTCATTCATGTAATGGCATGTCAATGGTCAAATCAATAGTCATGGGCGGCCGTGTAAGAAATTGAACATTATTCATTCATTCATTTTTTTTTTCGGCTTAGGCCCTTAATAATCTGGGCTTGCCACAGCGGAATGAACCGCCAACTTATCCAGCATATGTTTTACGCAGCGGATGCCCTTCCAGCTGCAACCCATCACTGGGAAACATTCATACACACTCATTCACAATCATACACTAGGGACAATTTAGCGTACCCAATTCACCTGTACCGCATGTCTTTGAACTGTGGGGGAAACCGGAGCACCTAGAGAAAACCCACGCAAATGTGGGGAGAACATGCAAACTCCACACAGCCACCTGGCTCGAACCAGCGACCTTCTTGCTGTGAGGGGACAGTACTACATACTGCACTATCACGTCGCCAAATTGAACACTATTTACAATATTATTAGCTTTAATCTTCATCCTGGTCAGTTCTCTGCATGGGGCGGTATAAGATTCTGACGGTTGGATAGCCTTGGATGAAAATATCCTAGTTTTAAGGTGTCACACGTAAATTATGTGCTGGATAAGTTGTCAGTTCATTCTGCTGATGCGACCCCAGATTAATAAAGGGACCAAGCCGAAAAGAAAATGAAAAAAAATATAATGTAAACAATGTTAATAATAATTCCTTACATTTATATAGTGCTTTTCTGGACACTCAAATCACTTTACACAGTGAGGGGATTAAATAACATTAAATCTTTATTCTTGGTCCAAAGAGGAATCAAAGTGAGAAAGCTTACTGGTTATTAAATTAAAAAAATGCGTATCGCGCATGGAGTGGAGCATCTGTGGGGAGTTTGCTTGTTCTCCCCATGCTTGTGTGTTGTCCCCGGGTTCTCCAGTTTCCTCTTACAGTCCAAAAACAAACAAAATTGAACATACCACATCAATACCATAGTCAAGCTCTTAGCAAGCTGTTTATCATCTTAGCCATCCCTGTATCTGTAAACAGCCAGAAATAAGTCGGGGGAGTTCATTCAGATCTACCTGAGCTCAAAATCCCTTCTTAATGGGAGGGAACCCAGGACTCAAGGTTATCATAAGCTCAACCCTCTCTCCTGGCTAAGTGGAAATTCTTGAATATGAATTATTGCATTTTGATGTGAATTCAAATACATCTAACTAATCTTCACTTTTAAACGACCTTATTTTTCTCATTTTCAACTGTTTTGTCCGTCTAATATTCTCTGTGGCTTTATATGAAGTCAATATAAATGTATGTTGAGAGAATTTTGTATGTTTGTGTTCATTGTTTTGTAGGTATCCTTTTCGTTCCTCCCCTAGACTGTGTGGGTCTGCTTCAAAATGCAGTCTTCGAACCTACTACAGCCAACCTTGAAACTTGCTGTTATGATCTTTTTAAAAGGTAGGGGCAGAGAAAATCATTATTTTGCTATCATCCACAAGCCTCCTGGACTGAACTATTGATTATGGAAAATATTTACTCAGCCACCACCAGTCTTCTTATTTATTTATTAATTGTATGTATTTTGATTTTTTTTTTGCAGCACTGTCAACAATGGAACGGTTTCTTTTGAGGGGTCCTGGAGTGTAGTGGCAAATGCCACAATTTATTTTGAAAACTGTTGTGGCCTCTATAATGCAACTGTGTGCATGTAGTTAGGCCAAGAGGTAACATACAGTATAATATAGCAATGCAAAACTCTCTCAACTAAATATACTAGTATTTATTAAATTATCACATTATGAAATGTTTGCTCAGTTGATAGATGTACAAAATGTATTTGATTTTATTTGCTCATTTATTCAAACCTAAATTCCTCGTTTATGTAGCCCATATGTGAGAGCAATTTGTGTGCAAGTATTTTATTTTTCTTCTACAAATTCTGTTGTTTTGTCTCCTGTAAATGTTGTAATTGTTGTAAGAATTTACATCCAATTACATTCTTATCAATGGCAGACATTGTGCTGTACAGATATGCTATTTAAAAGAACTACAATTTCTATTCTGATTTATGATATACAGTATAAACTATTATATATATATGTGTTCCTGAAGAAATGTGAGGAAAAAATTAAGTTTTATTAGGGGTTATTTTTATGGTTGTATGAAAACCCTTTTACATCTTACCTGTTTTTATGCGCATTTTGGACCATTGCAATGTTATTATATGTTCAATGGAAACAACTGAGTAGGATAAACTTTTTATTCAATAAAAAATGTGCATAAGCTAAACTAAAAATAAAAGATTTCAAAGATAATTCACAAAGATGTTTGTAAACAATTTATTTATGCTGAATTTAAACAAACAATTAGGTTGAAAATGAGTAAATTTAATTTGTTTATTTCAATTCAGCCCATATAAATCATCAGAAAAATCGCATGATTTTATTTTAAGAGATCATCTGATGACAAAAAAGAATGCAAAGACTGCATTAATGGTCAAACCAGCTGATCACATTGTACAACGTCTGAAATGTTCTTTTGGTCATTCTAAAATTGCACATCAAAGTGTGCTCAGTGGCTGTGCTCCAAAGGAACTACTATCTCACTACCACATATTCACTGCATTTAGTGTACACAAGTCATTTGTTTTAATAAAAAAGGCACACAGTTTTCCTAAAGCAGCAAATTATTGCAAATTATTGTTCATCAGGGAGTGTTGTTTTTTTCTGGAAATTTGATTTGAAAATGTTTTATGGGATATTTCAGTTTTGGCTGGAAACATTGAATTTAGAGCAGTGAACAGGTGCTACCAGGGTGTGCAGTAATTACAATGCATACATTGCTCATTTTTACAACTGTTTTTGTAGCAGTAACCAATCAATTAGTGTGTTTTTTGTGCTAGATTACTTGTTTAACATTCATAACATTCAATCCATCAGTAGATGGCAGCAAGTCCTTGAGGAGTGATTTATTGAATTGTTCATTTAAACAAAATCAGTGATTTGTTCAAAACAGCTGATTTATTTACAAATGAAGCAGCAGTGTGTCTGAAATAGCGTATTGTCTGAGTAGTGCATTTGAGTGTGATTTAATTTACAACTGTTAAAAATCTGTGAATTTGAGTCAAATCGTCACCTTGAAACTATAAGGTTCTATCTGCTTTTTGTTAGTTTTTGCATACCATAGCAAATGGTATGTGTGTAACATTTGCTTGTTTTTTTTTTTTTTTATCTTAAAATGTAAACGAATTTTAAAAAGCATCCCATAATGTAAATAAGTTGTCATTTAATAGGAATAAGTCAATAACTAAATTTTGCCAAAAATGTCAGATAGAAACTTATAATTCTAAGGTGACGATATGTCAATGTGTATATGTTCTACAACTGGCAAGTTCTAACATGACCTACAAGCAGTGCTGATATATTAATTTGTTAATAAAACTGTTGTGGTTGTTTTGGTGTTTTGAGAGTAAGCGAGTTTATTATGACTTATGGTAACCTCTGATTGGGTATTTAGGCAGATGATAGATTCTCAAAGATAACTTTTTTATATAAAATAAATGGTAAGTTATTTATTCATGTATTAATGTGGATTTTGTATAAGTGTGGTGGTGTCTGTATCAAATTTCTATATAAAACACATGACATAATGCACATAACTAGGCCAGTATAGCCTATAATGTTTATTAGTGCTGTTAAAGGAATTATCTCGTTCATAAAAGCTTGTACACATAGATGTTTTGAAAAAAATGTTTATTACAGGCCACATTTTTTCTGTTTTTCAGCCAGTTTCTTGAACTTTTCCCCATCTTTATTTGTTAATAATGAAATATTTTAAGCATTTTTAAACATTTTTAAACATTAAACTGCTTTAAAGACATTTATTATTTTAAAAAGGAAATAAATCCCTTAAAAAAATTTTTAGTGGCAACCGTTTTCAACACTTTAAAGAAGATAGATTTCTTGAGCACCAAATGAATGTATGTAAAGGATTACAGACTAACGAAATGGCTGTTGAAATTTTAGCTTTGCTGTGACAGGAATAAATAACATTTTAAAATGCATTAGTTTAAAATAAAAAGCAATTAATTTAAACTTGATAAATAAATCAATAATTGCAGCTTCTGTGAACATATCTCACAGACCACGTTTAAATGTTATTGTATTGATTACTTTAAAATATAATCACTTAATAAAAAGTCTCATTCCTTTACATATTAAGTGGTCAATCCATGTTAAATCAGCATCATGTAATTAATGATTTAGTGATTTTTTTTGAAACATTATGAAACATATGACATTTCTCCAAGTTTCCACAGTAAGTCCTATTTTTATTATAAGTAGGTCAGTGCTTGCACCATGTACAGTCATCTCCATTTATTCATTTTAAGGTGATTTTATGAACAAAATACTTGATCAATCCAATTCTCAAAGAAATGAAGAAAATATTGCTGTGATATCTGAAAATGTGATCTTTTAGCCTGGAACAAGCTAATTCATAATCATGTTGTGTAAAGTGCTAGCTTTGAGGTTTACGGAAATGCCTTCCTTTTTAAACCGCATCAGCTTAGTAATCGGGTTTGTTATGCGATATTATGTGGTTTTGTATAAGACCAAGCATAATTAATCTGAAACTCAAATAGGTAATAAGGGGAACACAAGGGCTCTTATGTACTACCACCTTCTTGCTGCAGCTCATTAAATAACTGAGATTTACAGACTTCTGGGGAATTAGTTATAGTGTACACTGTAAAAAATGGTTTTAAGTTGTAAATGAAGAGTTAAACCTCTACGTGCTGTCTGGAATATTCTTCTAAAATGAGAAATATTCATTTTGAAAATGAATATTTTGATCCATTTCTCAGTGAATACAGGCAATGTGTTTTGGTGCATTTAAACATAACAGATTGACTAAACAGATATATTTATTAAAATGATATTTTAGTCAACAAACATATATAGAAATTGAAAGACAGTACTATTAAATTCAAGCAAAATATTACAAAAAAAAAATTACAACCTACAAAATTTTAACTAAATTCTTCTTGCTTCTCTTGATTTTTCCTTTTTTATTTGTTTTTAATATTTTTCTATAACATATACATTTGGGTGTACTCGTTTTTGGACAGTTATCGTAAGTTATTTTGTTAGTTAAGCTCCAGGTTTGGCTTCAGTTATGAAACCAATGTACAGCTTCCTATTAAACTATGAATTTAAAAGAGAGATTTGTGAGGGGCGCACTTAAAAATGCTGAGTACTGTACTGTATGTTTATATTCAAATATTTCACTTTAAAGGCAATGAAAAGAACGTGGTCTTTGACATAAAGGTGAAATAACTGAATCTACTGTACACACAGCAACCTAAGAAAAACACTCATTTTAGAAGGACGCTCAGATGGCACTTTGAGGTTTCTGCAACTGAAAAAAGATGTTTTAAAATAAAGGAATATTTCCATGTTTACTGTGCTCTGCAAATAAATTAAAAAATGTTTTTTAAACTTCTCTGTTTTGTCTTGATTCTAGTTTTCTATAAGCATTTTTTTTGGTTTCAGAAAAAAGTCAAAATAATGGACGCTTTTCTTTGAAACAAGCTAATTTGATTATTTTGCTTAAAACAAGCTCATTTTGACTTGTTTTTTCTGATCATTATCAAATATTTGCACTAGAAGCATTTTTGAAATGTTTTAAATATATATTTTTAACATTAACAATCAATTTCTTTGTGAAAGTGTTTCATCACAGCAGTATTTCAGTGTATTCTTCTGCACTCTACAGCTAAATGTCGGAAGATAAAAAGAAAACACGTTTTTAAAATCACAAGTTCCACACAGATATATATACAACAGTTGTTTATTAATAATTTCACCCGTACATAAAGCAGACAGACCAGTAGAAACACCAAATACAAAAATACAACTTTTATACAAATATTTACACAGACTAAAGATTTAAACCGATTTCTGATCAAGCAACCTGCTTCTCTTTCTCGCTTTTCTGAGTCAGTTTCACAGTGATCGCAGTGCCGAAGATTTTGTCCCAGTGACTGAAGAAAGGTGCAAAGTTGCTGCTGGGTTTCTGATGGTGCATGTCATGTGCCATCGCTCCTCCAAGAAGCCCGAATGGAACCAGATGCCCAGGGGAAAAAGGCAGGTCATAGCCGATGTGGTCTTCCACAGACATCCAGATGCTGTACACGGTGAGGGTCCAGACGGTCAGTGGATGGCACTTCAGCAGGATGGGGTCGATGTTGCTCCAGAAGCCTACCGTCATGAGCTCTACACCGCTGAGGTGCTGGGTGGACCAGGAGAACGGAGAGATGTAATCGTGATGGATGGCATGGACCCACCTGTATAAGTGCGGGTTTTTGTGGTGCACCATGTGCCAGAGGAAGTACTGGGTGTCAAAGACCAGCAAAGCTCCCAAACCGCCAGAAAACATCTCCCATACTGTCGGCGCAACGGTGGGAAGAGGAGGCATAGGCATTACCACGTTGGTGATCAACACGGCTGGAAGAACGAAGACCAGATGGTTGTAGACCGCCGTCCAGAGAGTCCTCAGCATCATTCCAACAGTGGGACGCCGGTCCTTTTGGATCTTATACTTAAACAGAGGAGCTTTCTCTCCCAATACATCCAGCACGGCGAAGGGGACACTGAAGATGATGTAGCTGGAGAAGGCCAGCAGTACTGGGAAGAACGGAGAGGAGATGAGGGTGTAGTGGCGGAGCAGCAGGTAGTCCCACAGGGGCTGGAGGACGCGGTCTGAGGCGCTGGAGGTCGGGAGCTGGAAAACCACTTCACTGATGTTCCACATCCTGCTGCTGGATTGAGCAACGCTGGAGAGCGAATGCCAATGGGAAACAAATCTGCCGTATTTATACTGCTGAACCAGACTTGGACCTCTGAAAAAAAAAAAAACACATGATAAAGCACTTTCCCTTCGTTAGGTTCAGCCAATACCCTACCTTTCCCAGACTTGAAACAAGACCGCTAGTAAACCACTGATATTCTGGATTACTTCAAATCCTGGCGCAAAAAACAAAAAGCTTTCACAAATACCCCAGACTCTGCCTCGCTTTAAAATATCTGGGTTATTGAACGGACTGCACTTTGCTGAATCTACAGGATTACTTATTAATTTCTTTTTTTTCTTCTCTATAATTTAAGTGAAGCAAGTTCAATTTTATTTTATTTAAGTATGAAATATCATATCATCGCAAATCAATCATCTGATTTGAATGATATAGTTTTACAAACATATAAAAAACAGTCCTTTAAAATGTTTTAATTTTTAAATAAAATATATCTGTGATCATTTAAAAGTAAATTTTATTTAAAAACCATTAATAATTTCTGATATCTATGGTTTTACTTTTACACCTGACCCAGAAATGTCTTTATTTGGGTACTCTCGTTCTCTGCTGGATTATAATGTGTCCATACAAAGCACCATCATTATAGAATGATTATTGCTAAGAGTGTGATTGTAAAACTGTGGAAATCAGATTCTGTTCCTCAGTTTAAGACAAGCTTAACTTATCTCACTCAAATATTGCACATGGAAAGAGTCCATTAAGGAGTTATTAATAATCTTGATAAGTTTTACAGTATATGGACACCATTTCTTGATCACTTGGACCAATATAATGCAGATTCCGAGCAGCAGTGCAATGCTTAATTAGATTAGATTTAGATTAGATTCAACTTTATTGTCATTACACATGTACAAGTACAATGCAACGAAATGCAGTTTAGGTCTAACCAGCAGTGCAATAGCAGCAAGTGCAGGATATAGGAATAAGTTATAAAGTGCAGTTATAGAAAACTATAGTGATATTTACAGATGGATGTACTATCAACATTATATACAGGTTGGATAAGCTATGAACAGATTTACAAAATATGAATATATGTGCAGGTTGCTATTAATAATCAGTAGTGTGCAGATAGATAAACATGATTACAAGTGTATATGTTACAATATATGAATATATGTACAGGGATAGATAAACATGATTACAAGTGTATATGTTACAATATATATATATATGTACAGGTTGCTATTAATAATCAGTAGCATGCAGAAAAATAAGCATGATTACAAGTGTATATGTATAGTGGGTGTGTACATAATTACAAATGCCCATATGCAGTGGGTATGTACAGTTCAATAAGTAAACAGTTCAATGTGGTGCAGTGAATGTGCAAATTTTAAATGTGCAAATGTTAGACAGTGCAGTTATTGCGAGGAGTTTAAGTTAGAGGAGAGTGGGGGGTGTATTGGGGGGGGGCAAAAGAGTCAGTGTGGGGCAGAGTTCAGGAGGGAGACAGCTCTGGGGAAAAAGCTGTTCCTCAGTCTGCTGGTTTTTGTCCGGGGGAGCCTGAAGCGCCTGCCGGAGGGCAGGAGAGAAAACTGTCTATGAGGGGGGGGCAAAGGTGTCCTTCAGAATACTGTGTGCTCGGCGCAAACAGTGTTTCTTCTGGATGTTAATATGCTCACTACCCCTATTGACTGCCTCTTTGTATTTTCATTGAAACTGTTTACATGCCCTAATTGTTTTTTAATAGTAACTAACTTACTTTATTTAATTAATATTACCTTTATTTTCTTTGTATTATCATGCTTATTTCATGTTTTTTTTTGCTTGGTAATTATTGAACAATGTAAAACAAAAAACATTAATAATGTTGTTCTACTTGACAATTCAAAAAATGTGAATATATTATTCACTTAATCCCTGATTTCCCCACAGTGGAATGAACCGCCATATAATATTGTTTTAAAAAGACGCTCTGGGACTGGGAATGGTTTTGTTGCATCAGTACGTAACTTTCCTCACAACTGATTGGTTTAGTTTGGGTTTGTGACCTCTAAACCAGAACAACCTGCTCCAAAGTAGCTGTGTAGCGTAAATTACTGTGATGAAACATGACTAAAATCATTCCATCGAAAAACTCATGCAAGTTCATGTTAAGCTTGAACAAACTCTGAGTAAAACCCAAAGTGACTTTGTGCAACAGGCCTCAGGTGTATTGCCTTTCGATCCCATTTAATTATCTTCAAATATCACATTCATCATGTTTAATTATGTGAAGACAACACTTACTAGAGGGCATGCAGAGTTTAATATGATTTCTGTCTAAGACACTCTCAGTACAATGTTCCTCAGAGAATCGTAACTGCACTGTCATTTTTTAGCTATTAGATATTTTGTCACCTTGAAATTATAAGATTCTATCTGTGTTCTCAATGATTTTGAGATAATATAGATTTTTGCATTCTATAGAACAGTATGTGTGTAACATTTGTTTTTTTTATGAAAAGTCTTAAAATGTAAACTACTGATAAATAAATGGCCCATATTGTAAATAAGTAGTAATTTAATAAGAATATGTCAATAACTCAATTTTGACAAAAATATCAGATCATGATTTCTTATGAAGCTTTTAGTTGGCGTGACCTTTATTGTTCAGGAACCCAGTACTGGGAAACCCCCATGCACTCATTTACTTTCATTTAGTTTATTCAATTCACCTATAGCCATATCTTTGGACTGGGGGAAACCGGAGCATGCAGAGCAAACCCACACCCACATGGGGAGAACATGCCAACTGACACAGCTAAGGCTCGAACCAGCAACCTTCTTGCTGTGAGGCAGGCAACAGTGCTAACCACTAAACCAACGAGTTGTCCTTTCCCATTATCATGTGTTGAGATTTGTAGTAAATGAAAAGATAATCATCTTACATGCATTGAATTCTGCTTTATGCATGGGCCAGTACAAGATTCTAACTGTATGATAACCTTGGCTAAAAATATCATGGTATTGTGATTACTTCTCTAAAATATATTCTTTTAAAATATTTGAGTTAAAAACAAAAACCTTTTTTCTCTTTTGAACACAGTATATTTTATTTTGAGAAACATTTCAAATATTTTGGAACAGTAACATGTCAGGCTAAATGAATTATTGACTTCTACTGTCTTCATTTGTTTCAAAAACTATTTTTTTATTTGACAATTTTTAACAGCATCTTTGGATATCTTTTCTGCTGGAGATACTGTTGTCCTAAAAAACTAAAACTAAAAATAAAGTAAAAAATATTAAAAAGTACATATTTTTTTTTACTCATACAAAATTTAGATGGTTTTAAAACCTTGACTTTTCCAAATCGTGGTATACCTTGAAAACGGCTCTTGTCACATGCCTATTCTGCTTCACTCAAAATTTAAATGATTTCATTACTTAAATATAAACGTTTTTTCAAACATTTTTATTGTTACAGCAAATGTATTAAGCTGCAAAAATTAATTAACATCATTAAATAACACTTTTAACAAACATGATTCAAACTAATAAAACAACCTCCATATTTGCATTATTATTTTTCTGTAAATCTGACTTACTTGTGCTGAAAAAAAATCAAGAAACTATTTAAAAGGCTCGAGGATTTTGATGCATCAGGCACTTATAAAGTGGTTGCGTTAGTTTGGGTTTGTGACCTCCAATAACCTGCTCCAAAGCAGGTGAACAGCATGGCGTAATGTTAAATTACTGTGGCAAAGAAACATGATAAACATCATTCCACCTTCCTCTTAAGCCTGAAAACTATGTTTATGTTTGCTCAAACTTGACATGAACTTACATGGATAAAAACACAATCTGGCTTTATGCAACGGGCCTCAGGTGTATTGCTTTTCAGTCACACTTAACTGCAATAATCTACAACTATCACACAAATGTTTTGAATAAGACGTTTTCTAGAGGGCATATGCGGTCAATATGATTTTTGGCTATAATACAGCATTAAGCAGAGTATAACAATGTATCTAAAACGCACATTCATGTGGGAAAAAACACTAAAAAGACAATATAATTGTCAAAAGAGCTCTTACCTTTAGGGATGACTGTCGCCTCACTGATGTTGCGATACAGTGAAATCCCGAAAAATAGGCTGTAGCGTGAAACACCCATGTCATGTGACCAAACCAAAACATCAGGGCGTTTCACAGGCTTTTCGGTATGTGGCACACCTGGATGAACAACCACATTTAATTTGGAAATGTACTAATATGCACTGCCATTCCCTATGTAGGCCTACAATGGCAATGTATTATTTACATTTTTAAATGTATTAGTTAAGTTCAAATCTGTTCATGACATTTGGTGCACGTGCCCACCCCCCACCCCCCCCCCCCAAAAATAGCCCCCAGTTTATTTTTTCCCAATTTCTGTTTAACGGAGAGATTTATTCAACAAATTTCTAAGCATAGGCTAATAGTTTTAATAACTCATTTCTAATAACTGATATATTTGATCTTTGCCATGATGACAGTAAATAATATTTGGTTAGATATTTTTTTAAGACACTCTTAAAGTGACATTTAAAGGCCTTATTAGGTTAATTAGGTTAACTAGGTTAGAGTAGTTAGGCAAGTGATTGTATTGTTCTGTAGACAGTCAGAAAAAATATAGCTTAAAGTGGCTAATAATTTTGATCTTAAAATGACGTTTAAAAAAATAGAAACTGCTTTTATTCTAGACGGATTTAAATAAACAAGACTTTCTCAGAAGAAAAAAATATAATCAGACACACTGTGAAAATTTCCTTAAAAACATAATTTGGGAAATATTTAAAAAAAGAAAAAAAGGAGGGCTAATAATTCTGACTTTAACTGTGCATTACCATTTTTAGCCACAACGTAAATTAGGCTAAATATAATTTTAACGCTTTGTTGCAAAATAAATTAAAAATGTTTTACTGAAATTTAACTGAACATGCAGAAATGGTAAGACGGCAGCAAAGTTATTTGATATTTGCCCTAAACTCAAGGTTAGGTAAACTAAAACTATACTCGCATTTTTGTCATTCACTTTGGGATGTTGTAGCAAATTTCAATAGACTTATGTCTAATACAAAACAAATTCTGATCCAAAATAGCAAAAGGTAGCAAAATGGTTTGTCGTTTGAGGTTATAAATGCATTGACTTGTTAAGTCGATATGGTTTTGAAAATTAAACCGGTTTCTCTAGTGAACCGACTTCTGACAAGTTTCTATCACAGAATCGAGAGAAGAGCACGTTCGCAGTATTATCAGCTAATCGCGACGCCGAAATAAGTCAGATTCCAAAACCGCAGCAACCGGTTCTTGATGCGTGAGAAGCTCTAGGGTCATCCTCCAAAAATGTCAATTTTTCTGCCCCCAGACTAATCAGAACCTTTAAACTTGAAAAACTCTATGTTATAAAAACTCTACAATGCTTTTATAATGCTTTAAACTGCCATATTTGTTGTTTAATAAATGTACAACAGGCCTGTAGCCTATGTTCTTTTTTGTCAAAAAGTGGACCTATTGCAATTATTCGACGTTCGAATAGTGACATTTTAAGCAATAATTTGAGCTGGATTAACTTTACAGATGGTTATTTCCACACTATTCAATGCAACAAGAATACTTCCTACATTTTTGTCAAAGTGCTTATCATACTATTTTCGTTTACAGAAATGAATGTTTATTTAGAAATGTGCACTTAAATTGTAAGTTATTACAGTTTTATATATAATGTAATGAGATTAGAATTTTAGAAATAAAAAATATGTATTTTTCTAAATGCTAATTTATTATAAACCATCATAAAAAACTAACAAACAACAACAAATTAATGTTGTATTTATTCACAGTGGTGCTTAAACAACAACATATATTTAGATCATGATACTGAAACTAAAGCCTTGGTGCAACCAAATAAATAAATAAAGCATGCAGTTTAAAAAAGTTATAACTAATAAAGATAAAGATGTTTTATTACGTTCATTCATTTTCTTTTCAGCTTAGTCCCTTTATTAATCTGGGGTCGCCACAGTGTAATGAATCGCCAACTTATCCAGCATATGCTTTACGCAGCGGATGGCCTTCCAGCTGCAACCCATCACTTGGAAACATCCATACACACACATACACTACGGTCAATTTTAGCATACCCACCATGTCTTTGGACTTGTGGGGGAAACCGGAGCACCCGGAGGAAACCCACACGAAAACAGGGAGAACATGCAAACTCCACACAGAAATGCCAACTGACCCAGCCGAGGCTTAAACCAGCAACCTTCTTGCTGTGAGGCGATCATGATACCCACTGCACCACCTGTTCTATTACATATCTGACTAAACAAGAATTTTATATTTCCACTAATCCTCCCGTTCAAAAGAATCAAGGGTGTCAAACACTTTTCTATGACATTTGTGTAAATTCAGTAATTACTTTGTCTTTTTGAGAGTGTACAGATTTTTCAAGGTGCATGTAAACTTACAGTTTTTCTCAGTCGCTTTGGTGCATTTCTCACAACACTATTTACATTTGCACAACAGGTCATGCATTTCTCAAAACAATTAGTCATTTGTGCACATCCTAGTAACAGTTTCTCATTCCTTTCAACAAATAGCAAATGCTTTTGGACATGCATCAAATGCTTTCATTCAACTCTCTGCTTATAACATTATCATTTGCTTATGTCATGTCAGTCAAAATGAACTAAACTTGTAAATGCTGAATAATCATTCCATATAAAACTAACAGTCCTCATTTCATTACTTGAGTCATTACATAATGTCGAACTTGATGCAAAGATTTTAAATCTTTATTTTTCTGAAAATATCTTTAAAACTGAACAATTTGATGAACGATTTACAGACTTGCGTATGTTGCAGGTTCAGGTCCAACAGCAATATTGTTTACAGTTGTGCACAGTTCAACCCAAAGGGAGTTTATGTTTGTAGTAAATAAGGGTGTGTTTATTCTTTTGCACAATGCTGTGAATAAATTAGGATTGTTAAGAGCAAATGCAGTAAAAATTTGAAACATACATACAGTATCCAGTGTCTTGTACTCGGATACCTTACTAAATGCAGTGATGTTCAATTTTACTGTAGTTTTCAAATGGCTGTGCAAATAGTATATAGTGCTGTCTTGAGCATTTTCAGGAAGTGTCACCAACATCTGACTTTTTTGCATTGAAAAAATGTCCAGAGCAAACTCATATTGAAAACATGACAAAACCATTTGACTATCTAGTTCATAAACAATGGTGTCAGGACTTTTCATTTTGATGACACTGACACTTTTATTGACATCAATACTTGCTTTTGAGGAATGAACTATCCAATTTGAGCATGTGATGCGCTTTTGCAGGTTATCAGCTAGGTTTTGCAGTTTGTACTAATTGTTTTGAGAAATGCATTATCTGTTGTGCAGAAATGCACTAGTGTTGTGAAAAACGCACCAAAGCGACTGATAAAACTGTAATTTAACATTACATGCAGTTTTGGTCATATCTTGCATACTACTACTACTAATTATACAGGGTTTCTTCAGGTTGCTTCAAATCAAATGTAAGACTATTTAAGACCATTTTAAGACTATTATGAATGACATTTTAGACTTTTACAGGGCTTAATACGAAAGATTTTTTCTAATGACCCAGTTACTTCTGTAAATAGTTTACTATTAATGGAAGATCATGTAAAGGAACGTGGTGCTTTAGTTTTCTTTCCCCGATTAGAAAATTTAATATGGAAAATTTGCAGTAAAAATGTGCAACAACTGTTGTGAATGGCATCTCTTTGCAATAAAAAACTTGGATAGATCATTGGTAATTGGTGTCAGCCCAATTGGGTTACTTTATATGGAAATTAAGACCTGCTTAAAACAATTTAAGACCTACAACACAATATTTCAGTACATTTTTAAAGGCCTATAATTTTGTTTTGAAATTTCAGCCTGATCTCAATAGGAAACATACGTATTTTACGTTTTGTTTACGTTTAGTGGCTAATACGTACGAGTTCAGTCGTACAAAAATGTATGGTTTTAAAAAGGAGGCGTGGCACTTAACCCCACCCGTCATTGGGTGATTAGCAAATCGTACTAAATTGTTAGAATTACATTGTACGAATTCATACAAATTAGCCACTAAATAAAAAAGTTACAAATTGCCGTGAGATTGAGTTGGGAATTTATTACATTTTAAGACTATTTAAGATCCCGCAAACACACTGTTCTAATAAAAACAAACAACATATATTTACTTTTTACACAAGTTTATTTCATTTAGACTGATGGAAAACAGCAATCTTCTGCATTTCATATTCGGCTCATTGCACCGCTTTACATGTATTTTGGATAAAAGTAACAATAATTTGAAACTTTTTAAATTGGTGCTTTATGAAAAAGGGATTACCAGGGATTTTAATTTTAAAATTGTTACAAAAATCCCTAATGACTATAACCTTTAGCAAGTTCAAAATTTTAAGTTGAAATTATTCATTTCAACAATTTACAAATTAAGGTGCACTTGTATTTATACACATTATTAATGTTGATTTCTAACAGCAAGCAAAAAGACAGATGAAAACAATACAAAAAGTGGACACAGATCCTCGCGCTGAATATTGCAAAACCTGTCAGCTGTTTTATTTTGAAATGAATTGTACATCGCAAAAAAACAACTCTGTGAAATCATCCGAGGAGGAAAAAACGTGACTTGATGATCTGAATTAGATCAAGAAAAAGGAGAAAAACCTCTGGTGTCTTTACTTTTTTTCTTTTTGTGCTTTCTTTGGCACTGTTTTCGATGTGTTGGCATATTTGTGCCGGTCGTTCCTGCATACCAAAAACAAGATAAGAGCAAAAGTTCATTCACAGTTCAGAGACAATAAAAAGAGTGCATGATCTGGTCGTTTTCAATCATTTTAAATCACATGGGTCACCAAGAGTTTACACATGCAATAAAAAATATACAGTTAAATTTTAACTTTAAGTTCAAGGTTTAAATATATTTATCTGTATCAGGGATATATAAATCAGCCCCTTTAGGAAAAAATAATGATCCATTAGTTAATATAATTGCTAAGTATAA